GTGTTCACCGCCTCCTTGTGTGAATGAAAAATTGTTGCTGGTAAAAATTGCAGAGATAGACATCAACATTTTCAGGCAGTTTAGCATTATTTAGCATTACTGTGGCTCATAAAAACAGCTGTGATATAAGTGAAACAGTTTTTATGTAAGGGCAGATATAAGAAGAGATACTTCTATTTAATTTTTTTAATGTTTTCTCATGGCTTTTACGTCCCCCACCCCCTCCTCCTTTCTTAAAAAGTCGAAAATTCTACTAGTGCGGTTTGGTTCTTCATAAGAAGTAAGTGAGCAAACAAACACCTTCAATTTAAACATAGTAAAATGTTGCTAAAGAGAATGGTTCACTTACCCTGTTACATCTAAAACATCAATTATAGCTCCTTTTCTGTCATAAAGTATTACAGACTTGTTAGCGCTGAAATTCGAAAGTTGAATGCAATAGATATAATTTCAGACATAACAAGTATAAATAATGGAAGAAAAATACAATGAGCCACCTGGCCATAGCCAAAGTGTTGCCGTTGGGACGCCATGCTATGCAAGTTCGTCCCGAGCCAACCGTCTCGTCAGTCACTCGGAATAATAGCTGGAAACATGATTTTAGTTGAAAAGTACCCAAATTTGCCAAGATTAGGAGTAGACACAAATCGATAGCTAAAAAAGATATTTAAGCTTGACCAGGCAACAATCAATTGTGTTATTATTTGAGGTAACCGAACATGAGTAACAAGAAGTGATACAAGGGGTAAAGTTTGCTAAATTAATAATATTTTTCCATATATACATGAATAATACGTTTTGCTAGTCATTAACGTACTCATAAGTGTGTTTTAAAATCAATACCAGTAAAAAAGAGTTTTTAAAATTCGATTTTCAGTAAAAGCTAGTGCGAATGCCAACAAAATTCTGCTGTAAAAAGTTTTTTAAATCAAACCTTATCGCTATGCTTTGGTGATAAAGTGTTTCATTCTTCTAGCGTGTACGCTACATAGGTCTGAGAAAAAAAGGGAGAAGAGAGTACCAATTAACTTGGATAGTCATCTCCCTCAATAAAGAAAGACCACTCTTACAGAATGAGAGTGAATGACCAATTGAGTTAAACTATTGAAAACTCGAAAAACCTTGGTCAACAGCTCATTCAGCTAGTCGAAGATCAATTAGCAATACTACGATTTAGAAACCACTAATTCTGGGATCTGATAAAGCTCTAAAAAATTTTATGCAGTTTTATAGAAGGTTCAAGGGAGAAAGACGAGATTTGTCGACGGCGGACTTCTTTAAAGAGCCATTTTAATAGC